TGAATTTGTCTCTTCTTGAACCTTCAGGCCTACAGCAAAAAAATCCTGCAAAAAACAATGAAGCACAAGCTCTTGGTACTATAAGTTCATCCAGCTCCAGTCAAACAGTCTCTAATGTTGATAGTCGAGTTACACTACTTGAAATGAGACCCTTTCCCAAATATACACGTCCCATAAAAACTACCAAAAGAATTAAACAAAGGGCTTCTCTCATCATCTCACCACCCAACAGGAAAGGAAAAACAGTGAAAAAACTTAAAAGAAATTAAAAGAAGGAAGGTTGATTCTGTGAAAGTCAAGAGAAAGGTATTTCAAGAAAATCGTGAAAAGCAGGTAGGAAAGAAGAAGAAAACTAATGACATTTTTGTCCTGGCTGCCAGTAATCCTATATTGAGCCTCCTACAGAAGACTGGATTCCACTGTAACACGTGCGAGAGTTGGTGGCACGAGTCGTGCACAGTCTACGAAAAAGATGGCACATATACCTGCGACATTTGTTTATAATCGTCATCTTGCCCCTATAGGCTCCTTATCTTACCCCGGTACTGGGGTAAGTTACGAAAAATGCACTTTTTTGTTTTTTTCTTTATATTTTTTCAAGAGTACACTTTTATTTTGTTTTTTATATTTTATTATGTACCTGAATAAATGTACTAACAGATGAAATGGGATCTTTTTTTTAAACCCGTTAGTTCGTGTTTTGGAGCCTTTTGTATTTTACTTCGCCAACTTGCCCCGATCTCCCCTATAGTATATAACAAAATTATTAACCTCATGTAGCCTCACCTTCCTATATACTCACGAGTCGCCACTGGTACCTATACATTTGAAATTTCAAATAATGAATGTTACTTTTTTTGTTATGTTACTACTACTTTGTTAATGTTACTTTGCTTTTTATAACATACTATTGTATGTTATAAAATTGTAGAGTAAATGGAAAATAATTCATGCAAAAATGTAAATTTAATTCATGAAGCCGATGAAAGTAGGTATTCAAAATATTTTTTTTCGCATAAAACAGGATTATTTCTAGTTTATAACATCTATACGTAACACAACTAGTTAAAAGGGTGACATTATATAGACACTCCTAACTCGTACGTAGTCACATTGTTATCCAAGTCATTTTTAATTATGAATAAAATTTATTTAAGATATTTTACAATCCATTTCGACAAACCTTGTTTTATTTACATTAATTCTTGTTTAACTTGAGTATGACCATTTTAGAAAAAAAACTGTAACAGAAAAATAAACATGTCATTGTTCTTTATTTGGTCTAAATCATACCACCATGGTATCGTGGGAAATTTCTTGTATCTCAGCGAAGCAGAAACTGACGTTTTAGCTTATTACTAATGCAACTACTATACCTATAGTAACGCATTGAATATAATTAAACGTTGTTGGGTGCTTATAGGAGAAAAAATTACAAAAAATCAGTTAATAAAACAGCACCGTGTATATTATTCGTAATTAATCGTGTTTTGTGACATGTATAGTGACTTTTCATTGAAGAAAATATTGTTAATAGATTGCAATTCATTACTACTTGAATATTAATTAACTTAGGAGAACTAAAAACAAATCGACCTTAACGAACTAGATGAATTAGTCAACCTAATCTTAAAAATTCTGTTTACTGATCTTGTAAACCAATATAAGCAATGGAAATGTATATTATTTTTTACCACAAACGTTAGCACCAGTTTTATATTTAATACAATTGTGATATATAATTATTAATAACTAATCTCATGTTATATCTTATTCTGTTTCAATAACGATAAATCAAAAAGTTCTTAATAGCAGAACTGTGTATCTGTTGATTTTATTCTTTTGTGGCACCATAGAAAAGCAAACTACTATCGAGATAATGAGTCATTTACAGGAGTTATAAGTAATATTAAAAGTTGTTTTATAGTGCTATTAGCATACATAGTCATATTTTCCTTTTGGCGTCTGACCTTAGTTACTTAAATTGACTAACAACTACTACTGAATGTATAGAAAAATATTAATATCAAATATCACAGACAATTCTAATAGTATTTCATATAATTTTCTAATTAAAACACACTTTCATACTTAATTCACCTGAGGGTACAACCTAGAGATTAAGAGATTTTCTATCAAGTAGTTTAAATGGTAAGTGTTAATTTCAAGAACTATCATGCCTTTGATTGGCATACCTGATAATAGTAATAAAGAAGCAAAATTTTATTGCAGCAGAACACAGGCGCAATTTTTCAAAGCAAGCTGCAATATTAAATTTTTCTTTGCAGCGATGTATATGCAAGGCTGATGTCTTTTTTAATCTTTCCTTCAGGAACAATGCAGAGCAGAAGAAAAGTATGGTGAGGCCAGATTATCTAAAACCTTATTGTAAGCTTGTGAAGATATTTAATTTTACTTTTTCTAAATTAAATATTAAGTTTTAAACAATAAAGGATGTTAATATTATTAGGAGGTTTGTCAATAACAAATGGATGGATCAGCATGGCCAAAACAACTTTTCGAAGGCGTCAGAATATCCTCCTACAACAACGCTTACCATTAGACATTAGACCTCCGACTAAGAGTGATTATGTACTATGTATGATGCGTTTGAGATATGGACTCTCCGCCGACTACTTAAGATCTCGTATATCGATCACATTTCAAGCGAAGCAGTCCTGCAGAAAGCTGGTGTCGAAAAACAACTCCTTAATATAGTAAAGACCCGGAAAATGTTGTATTTGGAGCACATTTTGAGAGGAACTCGCAACGGAACTGGTCCTGAAGGGCAAAATTAAGGGTCGAAGAGGGCCAGGAAGAAAACAGCACTCATGGCTCCTGAACATCAGGGATTGAAGCGGGATACCAGACGCGGTAACCACGTTCCGTCCAGAGACTGCTCTGATCATCGACCAGCAAACGTCTATAGAAGAGGCTATACTGGACGAAGTAGTGGCGATCGGATCACAACACAACGATCAACAAAATGTGGGTCAGCTGCGTTTTGCGGGGATACACTTTCGGGTGGGCATGATCCTCATAGATTGTGTATCTCGCGAATCGGTGAATTAGTTGGTGGAAATCGCACCTAAGCTTAAAAATTGGCCAGGGCCGGAACTGGTCGCAGTGAAGGCAGAAAACATCCCTAAAGGGGCCGCCATCACGGTCTTTCTGCCGAGGAAGGGGAAAAAGACACCACCTACCTGCTGAGCCTTATCTACGGTCAGAACTTCAATGTAAGGACATCGAGTTGGCGAGACATCAACTCGAAGGAGGAGGGTCATGGTTAGGTCCTCACAATAGGAATTGACCTCAAATCCAAGGAGGAATATAGAGAAAGAGGACCTATCTTCTATTATAGATACGGGACAACACCGATATCAGGTCTAAGGAGAGACTAAGTTAAAGAGGTGCAGAAAATGTCTGTCCCCTCTACAACAGGGGTATGATAGGTTACAGGCTGTGTGATGACTCAAGGAAGGGGAGCACAATAGATTTTTAGGGTCCCAGTGATTAACCTCCCTTCTCACTCATTCTACATTCTACAACCATGTTCCGTCATGCAGAAGACAATACCCTTACAATCAATTGAAGAGAGTATACAAATAATGATCCCAACTTGAAAGCTTGCATATGGGACCGGAAGAAGAAAAAAGACATATGTTCTTCTTCTCGTTTCTGTTGTTCACTCCCCACGTAGCGGACCCTTTTTCTTTGAATGGCGAAATATGTTTCCGCTATTCCATATCAATCTCTAATATTGCGGACCCATGAATACTGATTACGTTCCAGTCTGTATTTCCCCCTCGATTTTCCTTTAGAGTATAAGATTCGAAACAAAGTATGAGTTTCCCAAGTATGGATATTGTGTATGTGACCCAAATAAGATATTATGAAACATGTTGGGCCGATGAGATTCAAAGCGTTCTATTGTTCTTTTTAAATGCTTTATTCTGTTTGATGTTTTCATGTGAAGGGACAATGTTTCTACGACATACAATAATATGGGCCATACATTTTAGGATTCCCAGCAGAGGGTTAAGGGTCAAGGTTCTTTGGAGAAATACATTTTTTTAGTTTAGTTAGCCTACTTTTTACAAATTCCGATGTGCGTTTTCATTTATTCGTAACAATCCTATTTTTCATTAGAATTTCTCTCAAATATTTAAATTTAGCTGCTCTTTTGGATAACTTCTTCGTTGATAGTAAGATGCAAAATATCAAATTCTTGCCTGCTAATAACCATTAGTTTTGTTTTCGCCAGGGGTGTCCCGCGGGTGGAATTACATTTACATTTTCTTGACAGTCGCTGGCAATCGTTGGCATCAGTCGATTATATTTACATGGCAGATATAAGCCGTCTTCTTCGCAGTCATTGGCAGTCGCTTGGCACATATACATTTTTTACCCAAGTGAAGCACACCGGGTTTTCGCGATATTGATCTTTAGTCCAAACTGATCTCCTTTATGCAGGTACTATACAGAAATCATAATCAATTTTTGTTCACACAGTAAGTACGTTACTTACAGCGAAAATCTATTTAACTTCGCTTGTTTTTAATGTTTTATTCATTTTATTTTGGTTTGGCTTGGCATTTTTAATAAATGCTGATATTAACTATGTATTATATTATAGAATTGCGCTTTGAAGTGATTTATTGAGTACTCCGTTATTTTCTGAAATATGTTGCGCTAGCAATAATATAATATTAAATTAAGCTGTAACGAATGGCAATAGCGTAATATATTATGTAGGACACAAATGGACAGAATTTTACCATTAATTTTAATGCACATAAATCATTATTTTTATTTAAAACAGATAATTCAAAATAGGTCATACATTTTTGAATATTTTATCTGACAAGCCTAGCCGTACCATCATTTTCTTTACATTCTCTGATGTTGAAGGGATATATTAAACAGTTATATTTTGGTAATACTTTACTCAAAAATAATGTGACGGAATGTTTTATTTAACCCATTTTTATCTTTTTCAGAAAATAGAACCGACTTTACACCAAACCACACCAATGACCGTCCTCTAGCACTCCCCCAACAACATGGCCTTACTAAACTACACCTCGCCTTTCCTCGCCACTCCAAACCCTCTCTCCAACTTCTACCGACCTCCTCAACCGCCCACCCACCAATTGCCACCCTACCAAACGCCTTACTCCTACCCACCACCTCAAAAACCCTTTTTGAACGAAGACTATGCTCGGGCGGGATCTCAAAATGGGCCGGCGCCAGCCCAAAGCCACCAGAGCCAAAAGGGGCCCTACCAGCTGCCCCAAGGGGCGCAGACCAATCAGCAGCCGCAGGGACCGGTGTTTACGAGAGTGACGGAGGACGGTGCCAAGACGAAAGTGCACGCGGTCATCGATTACGATTACGAGGACGAGGACGATCCGGTGCCTCCCGTGACTCCTATTCAGGGACCGATTTACCTGAAGAACGGTTCTGTGCCGGTTGTGCCCCTGTACTCGCATCCAGTGTTAAATAACGGAAGTTTTGTTCAAATACCGGTGAGTCATTTTAAATATCTTTATTTATTAACTGTTAAAGAGCGTCTACACTACGTGAAAAACTCTTCGAAACATGTCAAGGTCGCATTTCGTCGCCCAACTTTGACGCATGTCGATTTATTTGCAGTTGTCTTGACCCACTTCAGTTTGCCTCGACCTACTTTCGATTCTTAATAGCGCCTAAAAAACCATTCGTGAGGAGGCCGTGGGGTGATTTTTTTTGGCGTTTTTTGTTGCCTCGTTCAATTTTGTTTTGAGCTTTTTCCAAAACGTGGCGGTATCTGTGTCCGAGGCAAAGGATTTTTTTTCATAAATCTCAGTGAAATAAGTAAACCTAGACGTTTTTAAAATAGCTGTTGTTACGAAGATATTTCGTTAATTACATCTCGTTTTATGTTATATTGATATATATATATATTCCACAGAATTAATATTTGAACACGCGTTTATTATATGCATAGTAGATATTTAGGAACAAAACTTTTCACTTAAACTGCAGGAATATAATTACAATATTTTTATGATTTAATTTTATTATAATGAATTAGTATATAAAATTGTATATGATATGTTTGTTTACGGCCTTAATTGATTAATATAACAGTAGTATTGCTTGATGAGTAATACTGGTAACATTATCAATATATCCGCTTGGTAAAATTATTAATTGACCCGATGTCAACAAAAGTATGGTCCACGGACATTATTTAAAATCAATGTTCTTTTATTGTTCTTAAGAGGAATCTATAAATGATACCCTTATTAGCACCCAGCATGGTTTGATATAAATCCATTCAAGTAGTATTTATTATGCAGGATTTAGACAATTAAAACTAGAATAACAAAACCAAATTTGTAAACTAAACTTTGCTACAGACTACAGTATAAATGTTACTTTACCATAACCAGAAATAATAAATAACTAGACGATTTTTTAAATGATATTGTGTATATTTTGTTCATGAGGCGCAATACCATGGATTATAAGCCGATCAACGGTAGACCGCTAGTTAGTCACTGTTTTATATTTTTTCACTATATTCTAATTAATGATATTCGACAATCATTAAAACTAAATATTCTTGTGTAACCTTCGAGAAATAGCCAAATTAATTTACCATCGATAACTTGTATGTTTTCATGTCAGTTTTTCTATGTTTACTTATTTTTCTGAAGCCACCGCAACATTTGACCTTGATTGCCTCCTGCTATTTTACAAAATAGCTCGATAAATATAAGCCCCTGTTATACAAATTAGTTCCCACGATTCCTGAAATTGATCGAGACGCGCCGTGATTGGTTGTTTGTTTTTTATTGTTAATCTGGTAATCTGGGTTAACAATAAAAAAAATAAACAACCAATTACGGCAGGTCTCGATCTATTTCAGGATAGATGGGGACTAATTTTTATAACACGGGTTTATATTTATCGTACTGTTTCCTGAAATGTTTTGCGAAATGTTTTACGAAATATTTCCAGAAATATTTCGTAAAACATTTCGGGAATAGTGTAGAGGCTGTTTAAGGAAAAAAATAAACTCCTGATTATGTACGGAAAACAAAAATACTGTTTTCTGTTATATTTTTAAAAGAAACCGTGGTATAATGGATACACTGCCAGATTATTAGGCTAGCTGGTAGGTTCTTCTTCTCTAGATCCGGTATTTTAAAAGAGTCGGATCCGGAGTTACGTCAAACTTCATGGACCTGCAACCAGGTTCCATTTCCGCCGGATCTACACTCATGGGTACTATTAATTGGGAAAAACGAGCACCTTAAAATTTTTAAGTGTTTTAAAGTTTAATAAATTTTGTTCTAATGAGCCGATTTTGATGATTTTTTTAAGCAATTTGCAGCTAAATTACTTGACTTTTTAGTATCTCTTTCTAAATTAAAGATGAAAGTTCATTTTTGACTCATCTCAATAGCTTTATTTTTGTTGGACATATTAGCTTTTGAATAAGACGGTAACGATCTACAGCAATTTTAGCATTGAAAGCAAGCCTCTGCTTTTCCTCATAAACAAACTTCTAAAAAACTGTTTATTGTTGTTGTAATACCACTGTCATTATAAACTCATATTATTATTGTTTACTAACATTTACTTTAGTAGAGATGATTTTAAGTTCTGAAGTATCAAACTCTATAACTCATCATGAATGGGGATCTTCCTGTTATAAGGGACAGTGTATTTCCCATCCTCCTCTGACAATAAAACTGTTCAGGAGTGGAGATCTACCTTCTACAAGGGTATAACCCTTCTACAGTTGGGGTTGAGTCTTCCGCCATCACAGTCGAGGAGCTTGTCTTCAGCTCAGGTACCCTTGAGGTGGAGGCTGGAGGTTTCAATAAAGGTGGAGCTCTCAATTTTCTCCACTCCTTTAACTTGGTCTCTCCTTATACCTGATACCGTTGTCTCAGATCTATAATCTCTTTTCCTATTGCCTTTCTGAATGTGAGGTCAATTCGTATTGTGTGGCTCTCCTCTCTCGAGTTGATGACTCTCCAACTCGATGTCCTTACATTGGAGTTCTGACAAAACTGGTGATACACTGCAAGGTTTAGTCAATCCACCTCTACACAGCCCTGCATGTAGAAGTAAGGGAGACGAGAATACAGTAGGTTGCTCCCTGGTGCCCCAAGGTTGAGACCAGCTCAGCAGAGGCTAGTCTTCTATCTAGACTAGACCTAATCCCGCCATCATAGGATTTAGGTTTTTGGTGAGGTTGTCTCCTCTTGGTCCGGGCAGTTAAACTAAAACCCCCCACGTCCTCTGCCCATATGATACATGGCCAATGCCCACAGACAGTAGAGGGTGCCTGGTATGACACCAGGGTACTCGACAACGACAAGGTCTTGCATCTCCTAGGGGAAGATATGATAATATCATTTTTGTTAACAACTAAATCATGCTCACACAACTCAATCATATATGGATTTATTTTTTAAATAAAGTAATGTATGAAAAACCAAAATAACTTTTCTCTCTTATTAATTCTGGTTCATTCTCATATTTTGTTATGTTCTTAATTTTAATTATAAAAATATTTATTACTTAAACAGGCCACACATTATACGATTTATCGTACTACAAGTTGTACAAAATCAAATAGTTTCGACCGTTGGATCAATAGTTGGATAGTTAGTGGCATTGTAGTGCAACTTATTACAGTTAGACTCTGTCGTATCGTACGGAAGTACAGCATGCATACAATCTGTAGTACAATGCACTGCAACGCAGTAGTAGATACGATAGGTTTGAAAGTTTGTGTGCAAGCACTTCTTGTTGAAACGAAATCTAAACATTTTTCGTGGTAAATTAAGTACAATACAGTTCATAAAAATTGAAAATAAAAGTTTTGGTCAGAATTTATAAAAATATATCGTTACCATGGGTGTGTGGGATGTAAAAAATTACGAATACTTAAACAAAAATTAAAGAAGTGCATGTTATGAGAATCTATTGGAAAAATTAAAATAAATAAAAGCAGACGCTACTTTTGAATATTTTTACAATTTTTGGGAGGGTTTTTTTATCTTCGACTAAAAAAACTACCACAATTGCAGCTATTGTCCTTTTTGACTAACACAAAGCCACGGCGAACAAGACAAAATCAACTGGGAAACGATTTATTGTACGACAGACATTAAACTAGTAGTTTAAGTTCGTGGACAACAGTGCATCCGATCTGTCGTTCAAACGGTCGAATCAAATTTGTGTTGTACAACCTGCAGTACGATAAATTGTATAATGTGTGGCCCGTTTTATACAACAGCAATCAAATATTCATACACTTTGCCAATATTATGTCATAAACATAGAATATTTGTTGCTTTATTTAATATTTAATGACACTACATACATTTTATTCGATCGATTAAATAGAAATTTACTTAAAATTATTTTACGTGCATACGTTTCTGCAATAAAATAAATAATTTATGACATATATAATTTACTACTAACAAAAAGCTGAATATACGGTAATTAAATGTAATTTTATAATAATTTGATTATATTTTACTATGCTATCTAAAACTCTTGACATTTTCTTTGTAGTGCTTTTTCTTTTCAACAAAAAAGGAACATATCTTATTATTTACCTTTCTAATATTACTTATTATTGCGTTCTTAGGAATCTTCGCAACTGGTAAAAATAAATGTCCTTACTCATTAATTTGATGTTATGTGGAACTGCTGGTCATTGAAAAAACCTTTTACCAAAATGTAGCATTTTATTATTTATTTTTTGGCATATATATTTTATATTCACAATGCTATAGGAATAATAATAATAAACAGGTCATTGATCTTAAACGTATTACATATTATTGTTATAATTAATTTATACAGCCTTGATAAAGAATTCTGTATTAATTAGACTAGCTAAAAATATTTTAAAGTACCTAACTGTTGTGTAAATTTTACAAATATAAAGAGAAAATAGTAGTTTTTAATTTTTTGTCCACACTTGACACACACAGAAATAAAATAATTTACATAACTTTTAATTTGCGTAACAAGTGTACCTAATCATCATCATCATCATTCTCAGCTTGTTCAACCATTTCCAATTATGATGTAACCTTCCTCACTTACTCTTTTTTTAGTTGGACCCATTGTTGTCTATTGTTGGCTATGCGGGCCCAAGTTATCCATGCTAATTTCCTAATATATCATACCCATCTCAGGTTTAGTCTTCCTCTAGGATTTTTAATTCCTTGTGGGTACCATGCTGTAATTTTTTGTGGTCCATCTGTTGTCCGTCCTACTTGCCAGGTGTCCTGCTTATTATCACTTGAGGAATTTGATTCTGTGGATGACATGTATTACCAGAGTCTATTTTTGTATCCACTCTATTCTTTTACGGTCTTTCTTTTGGTTATTCCCAGCATATTTCGTTCCATTGGGCGTTGTGTGACTTGCAGTTTCCTTATAATGTCCGCTTTAAGAGTCCAGGTTTCTCATGCCAGGTTATCTTCTAGAGCTTCATTTGAGTCAAGTAGCTTTGATGCCATATCCGCGTGACTGTTGGAAAGGAGACATAATATGTCATCTGCATAACTCAGATCCTCTAACACGTATAATATGCCACGATGATTCTTAGCAATTGTTCTTCTTTAGAATATCATCAAGGGGATATTAAAAAAAATGGTGACAGGACGCAACCCTCCCTCACCCCATTCCAATTTTATGCAAGACCAAAGATAATTCTACTACGGCAAGACTAAACATTGAGCCTCACAATAAAAAGCGCCTTCACGCTTTGAAGGGCTCAAAAATCAATAAATATTATTTTAATATTATTAACGGCATACCACTGAACAATTTGCGCTAGGCGGACGATACAGTTCTTCTCGCTGAAAACATGCAAGACCTTCAGAATATGTTAAATAACGTCATCACAACTAGTCGAGAATATGGTCTGGCACTCAGTGTTAAAAAGACTAAATACATGATTGTCACTAAAACTGGAGTGCCCAATGAACATCTGTACGCGGAAGGTGAGGAGCTCGAAAGAGTAGAGAGGTATGACTACCTGGGTACACGTGTCGACTGCACCGCTGATTATTGTTCAGAAATACGGCGTTGTCTCGCGGCTATCCATTTTCAGTGGAGCCTTTGGCGAACCCACAAAATTCTTCATAGGGCTATGCGATACTGAGGCAGTATCGATATTTTGGTATCGGTTGTATTGAATATAAAGTATCGATACTTTAAAATATTGATAAATATATTAAAGTATTATTCCATACCATTCAATATTTTAAAAAATTAATTAATAAATTTAAGTATACTGTGTTTTTTAATTGGATTAGGATCGAAAAAAATCAACAGAAGTCCTTTGTTTTAAATTTGTCGACGTTTCGCAAAATTTATTTCCATCTTCGGGACACTACAAAGTTAAGAGAGCAAAATACAATCAAAAAATTTTAAAAATTTAACAAACAACTTAAAACACATATCAGTGGAATTCCACACATATACAATTATTGGTAAAACTACCCTAATGTTAACAATTAAATAAAATATATGTATATGTTATAAATTTAAGATCGCTTGTAAATAAAAATAATAAGGGATAAGGCCAGAATATAATCGGGATATTTTCTTATTCGCATTTAACGAAAAAAATCGACGATGGTGGCACTGTTTTATACAAAAAACTACCAGGACCAGAACTAAATCAGTCGGAAAAGACAGAGATTAACAATTCTTTAAAGCATTGTGGCGATAAACGAATATTTTTTAGATTTTGAAGTTGGTATGCAACAAAGTTTTCAATACGTGAGAGAAAAGAGGACAATCAGATCAAAAAGAGGACTGTTTCTGGAATAGAGGACGGCTGGGAACACTATTTTAACCTCCTGTAGCTACGAATCAAAGTAGAATTGGATTAGTTGATATAAAAAATAAATCTTATTTTTACGTGAGGAACTTCCCCACGAGAGATGGAACATGTTTTTTTGAAACACCTTGTATATGTTTGTTTAATTTCAAAATAGGTAAAAAAACAAGCTAGATAAATTAAAGGAATTCATGATAAATTTTTAATTATATTCGGACTGTTTACATTAAAAAAAAACTGGAGAACGCCGACTGAGATACCTGGAGATAACGGCACGGCAGCGGCGGCGGCGTAGCCTTTTGCCAGTGCCGTTTTTTTGAGTCTTTAATTATTTTATTCAATAATATATTTTGTATGTAGTTTGTATAACTATAAAATTTTAAAATAGAGTAACAGCGCTTTCAGATGGAGCGGACCGTACGCGCAGAGCACGGATGTTTTTTCAAGATAGCTCATCCGGACAGAGCATACGCGACCCAGGTGAAATTGTTCATATAAGCCAAAGAATTATAAGCTCATGGTACTTGCTCGAAGTCGCGGACGCTCCGTTCCATCTGAAAGCGCTGTAAGATAAGACCTAATTCGACTTTATTGATTTAAAAAATTAGAAATTTAAGTAATTAAGATTTAAATTATTAATTTAAAAAAAAAATCTACATTTAAATGCCAATAACTAACCTGGAACATATATTGTAAATAATATATCTGCATTTCTTCATTTTTAAAGTTGTATATTTTTTCAAGGTATTCAATTTGCCACATTATTATTCTATGGCTTTCCATCATTGCAGCACGCTTATTAATAATTTTTAAACTATTAATATGTATATAATTTTAAATGTAATTCCCAGTTTTTTAAACCTTCGCCATATTGTGCTTTCTGAACAGTTTTTTTTAAGCTCGGAGAGTTTTTTTTAATTATTTCTATGGCGGGAACTTTATTATTTTCATATTTGCCATAAATTAAGTTTCTTAGTAGTCTGGATAGTTCAAATTTCTGGATTTTTCTATATCGGATCGTTCCTTTTTTTGTCGATTCCCTTTATTTATGAGAGTACCGTAAGGAACTTCTGATAGCATGGCCACCTTTTTCAACACACTCGATTTGCCTCTCTTATCTTCTATGTATCCTATATGTAAAGAAGCTTGTTTTACATCTTTAATTCCGTTCAGCACAAATAGCGCATAGTTTACGTTTGAGCCGTTAATAACTCGACGAAAAGTTCATTACGTTTATTCATTTTTCATAAAATTTCCATGTTTTTATAACAGAAATCACTAATAAATCTTTGTATATGAGATTTACCTACTTTGGCTAACTTACCTATACTATTTTAGAGAAGATAAAATTGCATATTTCTAGTTAGGATGCATTATTAACATTATTACAAATAAAGGAAAGAATATTTATTTTTATATAAAAATGGGATGTGGAATCCGAGCCCCTTGAGACTCGAGGCACTTGTTCCGCGGAGCCGCGGTGTATACGCCACTGGTTAAATAGACGCCCCAATCCTTTTGATGGTTCGCCAAAGGCTCCGGAAAAAACGGAGACAACGCCGTCCGACTGAGCATAGGCTCGGCTCGAAGCTCAGACCCCGTCCAAATATGACGAGTCAACTTCAAATCCGCTTGAGGTTGACTCGTCTCGGGTGTCTCTCGCACTCGTCTCGACATATTTATACGCAGCTTAAGACTACAGCCTAGATATCTAACTGCCTCTACCAATGAGTATATATAAAATATAATCCTAATTATTTATACCTCTACAACATTAATGGTTAAAAAAAATTATGGTAATTTTATTGAACGTTACTGCAGTAAACTAAATTATGATATTTTTTATATTTTATTAAATAAAATATGCATACGTCTGAACCCACCTAATGCACATAAATCATAATTTGAAACGTGCGAATTGCGAAACGTTTAAGCATCTACGTAAAGGGTTTTAAATTCCGATTAATATTTGCAATTTACAACCTAGTTTCGACACAGCTAAGCTTTAAAAAGATAATCTAAATTGGTAGGTGGTCGCCGATAAATCATAATTTTACTTGGCAAGTCATTTTTTATATAGGCCACTTATATTTCCTGTATTTGAACAACGTATCTCTAGTAATAATACGGGGTACATTCAAATCATTATGCATAAGAATAAAAAATCATTTCTTGCGTCTCTAGTTTTCTCTAAAACATGATTTTTCTAAGCGGGAACTAACCGAAAGCGGAACTGAAGAACCTGGAAGACTCCATTCCTAACCTGGAATGGGTGTCCTCCAACGGTCTAAGATACTCGAAAAAGTTTCTCAGAACTTACGACCGAGAAAAATCAAAGATTTTCCTTGATTTAAGTAAAAACAATCTTCGGATTGTCACGGGGTTTCTAACAGGACACTGTCTCTTCAACGAACATCTCAGTCGGCTGAAGCTGAGAAACAACCGCGAATGCAAATTCTGTGAGGAAAATGGGGAAACACCAGAATACCTTATCACTGCGTGCGCCGAGACGTCGACCGTACCTGCCATGAACTTTGGTACGACTGATGTCGAGGATGGAGAGCTGGCTTCCGTAGAGCCGTGTCAGATACTGGCTTTCGTTAAAGCCCCGAGACTGTATGATGACCCAAGTAACATTTTTCGGAGCCTAAAGTTTTATTAAAAGGTAACGGGTATTTATAAGAGGTTTATAAGGAACCTTTATATTTATAAGAGTGTTTAAAGTCTTATAAGAACACTATTGGTCTTAAAAGTTTTGTAACACCTCGAAAAAATACCAAAATACTTGAAGTTTTATAATATGGCATCCAAAATGTTTTCGTTACCTTATTTATAAAACCTTTGGTGTTGGTTACTTAAGGTTTTTTTAAAAGGGTTTTATAGCATTCTTAAAAATCTTATTTTAAAACTTTTACTCTTGGGGTTTTATAGCTTACTGCGTAAAACCCTTATAAATCTAAGGCACCTAATAAATATTCTACAGCTACTACAAAACCTAAAGAACATTATAAAACTTATAGGCCCAGTAGCAACTCCTTTCATGTGTAGAATAGGGGGCGCTATATTTTTAAGGTTAGGTTATGTTTTATGTTCCTGTTTTGCTTTTGTAAATCAAAGAGATGGAAGAAGAATTAAATACAGTAGCAGTTTTTATAGAAAGTGCGTTAAAACCCGTGAAAATATTTTGGAAAGCACACCACACACCACTACTAAAAATTACCAAAACTTAGACGTTCCTCAAGAAGATATATTGCCAAATACTTCGACTAATCGACTGCCACCGATGAATGAAGGGGCAAATGACCTTTGGAAGAATGTATAGATATCAGGGAAAATTGGTTAAAGACGGCGTTGATTTTCCATCTTCTGTGTTTTGGACAATTTTGAAGTGCATTGAAAAAAAATGTTTTACAAAAGCCAAAACGCGCGAATCAAAAAGTGGGGTTATGGTCAATGGTCAAGTTTCTATAAAACCTTTTTTGTAACTTATAAAACTATTAAGTATCATAAAAGGACCTAAAGTTTTATTGCAAGCGCAAAATTCCCATAAGACGCCTAGGAAAGTGTTATAAGAGTTTTTAAGGTGTTGATGATTACTTAAAGATCCATATAAAACTAGAGGTTTTTAAAAGGCGAAATGGCGAACATGACGTCCTTTTATAAGGCGATCATTTTATGTTTGTGTTGTATGTACTTACATAAAAAAGAAGAATATTACATTTTAAGCAATATTACCGAAGCTTTAAGACGTATTTTTTCAAAAGCATGTTTATTTGTAAAAAAACAAACCATGAGACGTTATTTTAATTTTTTGGTTTTTACAAAATAAATTATATTTAAGTTCTAAACGGGGGCGCTTTAGTTTTAAGAAGGGTAAAATGTTAATATTACTCGATAAATTTTCCATGCCAATAAAATTTAGTCCTCATGGAATTCTTACAGAGTGTTTAAGTTGTTATAATAATTATTATAACACGCCATTTTCATCAAAGTGAAAATTCATTGCTGTCAACTTTAAAGTACAAGCTGAATAATAATAACAAGAACCTGAAATAGAATATATTGCAAACAAACGTTGTAGAAAGGGGCGTTTTATAATGGCTATTATAAGGAATATTAAAGGTTTTAAAGCGGTAACGAAAATGTATTCCTTGCCGCTATAAAACTTATTTATGGTTTATAAAGGTAACGATAACCTCTTAGTTACCAATAAATGGAGAGTAAAGGTCACGTTAAAGGTTTTATAAGATACTAAAATTTGGTCACCGTTACCTTTATAAGATTCTCCATTTAAGTGCTATAGGGGTGTCATAAGGGTAACGAAAACGTTTCGCGAACAATTGATAGGCTTTTAGGTTTTATTAAGTAGGTTATCGAAACGTAACCATTACCATTATAAAACAAAAAATGTTAGTTGGGGAGTTATAGCTCGTTATAACTCAAGAAAGGGGAACAAAATAGATCTGTAAGGTCGCGGTGATTAACTCCCATCTTAAACATTTTACAGTCTACAAGATAATCCGGGGGCATATGTAGTCTTTATTTAAAGTTTACTTATAATGTAACGGGTGGCCAACTAAGAATGGGCGCCGGCTGTGTCTCAGAAATTACTTATCGTATAACTTTGGGAAAAAAATTCTAATAAGTAAATCGACCAAGAGAAGTCGGTCGAAATTATTTTCAAGTTCGAAAAATGTCCGCTAGAGGGCGTTTCTCTGATAGCCAATCAGAAAACAGAGTTTTTCTCAAAAATATGCAGGTGAACAGGTATTTTAAATATTACTATTGTAATCATTGAGAAATTTGTATTTTTTTTTGATAAGAGTGTTTTGCTCTATCTCTATAAAATAAAGTGGTGGGGGAAGGTTAAACTTGCTATTATTAAAATAAGGATAACTCTGGTTTGGCTAAGCCGATTTAAACAAAGTAGGGTTCGTTTAAAAGAGCTTTTCTTCCTTAACGATCTCCAGTATTAATTTTGTTTCCATAATTTTTTTCGTGGTAGCTATAGGGCGCTGATTTGACATCATAATAGATGATGTCAAACGACCAGTTGGTCGGTACAAGTTTAGGCAGGAATTCTAGGATGGCGAATGATTGGACTTTTTTAATTCTCAGAATGACATGAACTATCCATAATTTCTAAGAGATGAATTTCCAATTTTGTTAGGGGATCCGTCATGATGAAATTGATTCGATGAATGCAGTTGGTGTAGTTTGATGTAGTTGTGCCGCTTATTTTGCTATGAATGTGTGGAGCTTCTTGGATACCACTTACTTTAATACATAGAGACGTTGGAGCGGCATATTTCCATGCCTACCTAGGTCAGCAGATTCAATATGCATGACAATTAAATGGTATTAAAATGAAATTAAAATATGTGTTTTGATATTTTGACGTAACCAATTTACCTCTTTTTGTGTCCTAGCCTACTACTCTAATTTTTAGACTATATAATCCTAAGCGGCACCCTAACATGATTGGTTCTCTTAATATCTCCGGTTAGAAAGAAGATAGAAAGTTGCGGTTTACGCTGATATTTTGGAAATTTTGTGCTCTATTTAACTGTGTAAAGAGAAATATAGGCTCCTATTTATTTTTTTTATGCAAAGGCGCAATATCTGTTATGATGTCAAACAGCGCCCTCTAGCTACCACGAAAAAATTATGGAAACAATATTTATACTGGAGATCATTAATAAAGAAAAGTTCTTTTAAACGAGCCCTAGTTTGTTTAAATCGTGTAACCTAAACCAGAGTTATCCTTATTTTACTAAAAGCAAGTTTAACCTTCCCCACCACTTTATTTTATGAGATAGAGCAAAACACTCTATATCAAAAAAATAATAATTTCTCGATTATTACAATAATAATATTTAAAATACCTGTTCACCTGCATATTTTTGAGAAAACCCCTCTTTTCTGATTGGCAATCAGCGAAACGCCCTTAGCGGACATTTTTCGAACTTGAAAATAATTTCCAGCGATTTCTCTTGGTCGATTTACTTATTAGATTTTTTTTCCCATAGTTATACGATAAGCAGGTTCTGAGATATAGCGGGCGTCCATTCTTAATTGGCCACCAGGTACCTACAAATTTGCACGGAACCCTCGGTGGGTAAGTCCGACTCGCACATGTGCGGTTTTATTTATCTAATGTAGTACTTAAATGTCAATGTGTTGCATAAAAATAGTACTCCAGTTACCAACACATCCCTGTTAGCGTCACATCGTGACTACACGAGTAATTATCGGACCACCCTCGTACGCACAACTTTTTAAAAGTCGATTTAACGATAGTTCGTTCCCGAGTCCTTTCACTTCACCGACCTTCGAAAAGGTATTTTATTGTTTGCTTTGTCTTTATTCCAATTGTAACAAATCACCGTTTGCCTAAAAATGTTACGGTTTTTTTTCGCTTAAATGGTAAAATGTCATACGTACCGCGAGCGTACACACATTTTATTCGATGTTTTATTAATTTCTGTTTCGATATTAGTCATGGGAGATATGTCTGCAATGCGAATTGAGTCTTGATTAGAAGCGAGACCTTCGATTACGACAGTGAGCAATACCGTTACCGTACTTTGGTGTAATTGGATCGGGCTTATTACGAGATAGGAAGTCCAAATATGTATGATTATACTAAAGGTTAGGCGATTTATAATCGAAAGGATCAAAAGCGCTGTCAGAAAAATACACACATGGTCAAAATTATTGCATATATCGATATTTTTATTTTATTTTGGACATAATATGATTCTTTTATTAAAAATCTAAGTGCAACTAGGCTGTTATTATAATTTTATTTCATAATGAGTGAAAATCAACAAAAGCAAATTTCATTTTAAACAGAAAATATAGAAAACAACTTTAATTATTTCTCACAACTAACAGTCTGTATGGCCTCCTCGAACCTCAAGCTCTGAGACGACGTGGCATGCTCTCAATTAAGTTGTCCAGAAGATGTTGAGGAATGGCTTCCCATGTTTCGCGCACAGCAATTTTCAATTCATTTAAGGTCATTTCTCATCATTTAAGATCATTCCTTTTGGCAATATGGCGTTTTAGCATGTCCCAAGCATGCTCGATCACATTCATATATGGAGACATCGGTGGCCACCACAGTTTTCTTATACCCCCTTCCTCACAAAATTCGCGAACCGCTAAAGTGCGATGGGGAGGAGCATTATCGTCCATGTAAACAAATTCATCCCCCACTGCCCCTCGAAATGGACGCACAAAAGGCTCTAAAACGTCTCTAAGATATGAGGCATCTGTTATTGTGCCATCAATAAAAATAAGAGGAGTTCGAGCTCCGCGTATTATATCTACCCATACCATAATGCTTCCCCCTCGAAACGGGACACGGGGTTGAGCTGCATTCAAGCATGCTCGTCTTCCAGATGCTCTCCATACCAAAGTTCGTCGCGAGTCTGAGACTAGGCATACTCTTGTTTCATCACTAAACATGACGAAATTCCAATTAGGTCCATTTGCTCTCATCTTCTCAGCCCATTGTAGTCGCGTCATTTTGTGATATAAATTAAGCTTCGGAACACGTAGAGGCCTCCTTAAAAGTAATCCTCTATCATGGAGTCTTCTTGCTATGGTCTTTCTTGAAACATTTACTCCTTCAAGGCGAGCTAACTCATTTTTAATAGAAGTACTAGAAAGCAGGGGATTGCGTCGTGTAATTAGGGATATTTGACGGTCTTGCACAGCAGTAGTAACTCTCTTTCTACCCCATCCTGGCTGGTCTGTAACCTCGTCTCTCGCCCAGAATTTCTTTAATATTCGCGAAACATCGCTTTGGTTAACTCCTACAATTTCAGCTATTGCAACTTGCCGTTAGCCCTGTTGAGATAGTGTCACTATTCTGACTCTATTAAACTGTGAATAATGTTTCTAGGCATTTTAAGTCTAAAACAATGGTCAAATTTCTTCTGAAATTCAAGAGACCACAAATCGAAATGTGTAAGAATTTGTAGTAATATTGGGTCTGAACAAACCAAACTAACATTATTAAAGAAAACATCTGTAATACTCAAGTATACAAACAGAAAAAAAATGTAAAATGTACCCTAATACTTTGGTATGCCTCCATTGGCTGCTATAATAGCGGCCTGTATACGTCCGTTCATGTTGTCATTGAGGCTGCGTATAATATCATATTGCGTTTTGCTTTCTCATTCTTTTTTAAGAACCAATTGAAGTTCATTTAATGAAGCTGGTACCGCTTCGCAACCTCCAACCCTCCTGCCAAGCATTTGCCAAACGTCGAACATGATGGGCAGTTCATAGTAGTATATAGTTCACAATAATCACTAAAGCCGGCTTGTCATATTGAAAAGTAACTTAAAAAAAAAATGATAATTGAACAAATTGCAAATTGTTGGTGGCAAGTTCATTATGTTCTTAAAAATTAACCAAAGCATGTATTGACATGATCCAAAAAACAAAATACTCAAGACCGTAAAATTATGTTTTAAGAAAATTTACACACGAAATTATTGCACAGGGTGTTTTAATGTTACAATGTTTAAACAACCCCTTATATGCTAAATACTCTACTACGAAAAAGTATCTATAAAAATATTTACTCTCACAACATACAGTTAACTGATTCCCCAAAGCAGACATGATATTGAGCATATTTTTTTAAAATCTTTATTTTCTAGAGATGTTACAGATTATTGGACCAAAATTGAATTGAGCTTATAGATTTTTTTTTCGGTCTATTTAATGTTGTAAAAATTCGAAATGGCGGCCAGAAGAAAATAAAACTTGACTGTTTGTGCGAAATCTAGAAGGCTTAGAAGATTATTGAAAACGGCATTTAACTCGCCGAGGTCAAAAATATAAAAATACCTAATCACGTTGCAATAGATATACAGCGTGAGTGTCTTAAATAAGTGCAAATATTTTCAGGGCTGGTAGATCTCGATAAAAGAAACATATTTTCTCTTTGCCATTTTTCAGAAAAGTCCAAAATAACCGAGTTATTTAAGTTTGAAAATTTAAAAAAAAACGATTTTTTTTGAAAAAAATTTGAGAGCCACCGGATTTTTTTCTGTAATTGCATCCTTTTAGTTCCGTAACCATAGAGTAAAGCCGTGGAAAAATTTGCGGTGAACAGGCAGTTCTAAAAAGTTTTCAAAAATATGCAGGGAAATTTAAAACAAAATGCACGATTTTCAACATCTCTTTTTTGGGAAAAAAAACTCGTGTAATAAATAGACGTGTTCCTGGGGTCGAAATATACCAGCCCTGAAAATATTTGAACTTGTTTAAGACTCACCCAGTATAGTTGTGAAGATATTGTCATTTATAAAAAAAGCATTAATTTCTTTTTTTTTTGGGATTAGTCGGAAACTAATACCGAGGTTTTCTTTATAGGCATTTGTCAAATTTCTAATAACGAACATTGGTCTAATTTATCCGAATTCGTATGTCTCGTAGTTTCAGAGATGCCAATGTTGAGTTTCGAAATTGTCACCACCCTGTATACAAATAAAATACATTTATTTTTTTAATACAGGGTGAGTTTTCTACGATGTTCTCTATGGGTATCTCGGAAACTACTGGAATTAGAGAGTCGGTTAAATGGGGGAAAGAATTGCAGTTTTGTGAGGAGAAACATGCGGCTTTTAGAGTTTTGAAAACGTTTATGGCTTACTAGATATTTCGAAAAAAAAAACAAATTTTGACTATTTTAAAAATGCTTCCTACTTCCATTATAATCTATTTTAGACAAAAAGTTTTCAGATAAAAGTTGTAGATAATTCGTTCTCCGTCTTTTCTGAAGCCTGTCATTTTTGACATATGACACAATATGTTTTTTTTAAATGGAAACCATAGTTTTGTAATTGGTTAACTGCAAATTCACATTCTTTTCAACATTCATTTTTATATTCTAATAGTATAATTTTTCATTTATTACAAACTTTTTGATGCTCCTTGTAGTGGTAGTTATTAAAGCTCTTGTGAAATCTATGAAGTTGCAGAACAGATAAGAAACAAATTGGAGTAATTACAAATGGGAAATGTTAAGTCTTTGTTTAATTGCATCTATTTATGATCACAAGTCACAATAAAGAACACGAATGCGTTAGCTCTTCAGATCTAGGATTAGGAAATCAATGAACGAACTCAAGTACTTTCTGGTGTATTGTTACATAAGTATAATAAAAATTAACATTATTAAATCTGAGCAAAGGTATTTAGGATTGAAATTATTGTCGATAATCAAACATTTCTTGGTCCTACAATACATAGTTATTTTCGAGGTTATTTTAAACAATTGAAATTCATCAAATTTTGAAAAGTAAAATAATTCATAACAGAAAACATTTTTAAGCATTAACCAAAGATATTTAAACTCTAAAAATAAACTCTTAAAACCAAACCAAATCAAACCGAATTTAAAAATATCTTTGGTATTAACCTTGTTTATATATTAATAGTTAGTCAATGTGCCTGTATAAGTCGATGCTGCCAACTGGTGGCAGAAATTAAAACGTAAAAAGGGGCGGAGACTATTGAATTTGGCAAAGAAGTAGGGACTAGGAATTCTTCGAATTTAATTCTCGGTAAAGAATAAAATATCTTATCTGCTTTGAACCGAATTTTTACCCCAAAGCGTTATTTACATTTTTTATTTTTGGATATGGATTTATATTTATTTTGATTTTCATGGCCCCTTGTTAAATACTAAATTATTATATTAGGTATATATGTATATATTTTATTTCTAGATGGATAATTAAAAAAATATATGAAACTATACCTACCTACCTCTGTAACTTTGTAAAAAGTATGACGGATTTAACATAATGTTTTTTTTTAAATGTAACATCCTATTTTATTTTAGATCCTGCGTAAAATTATTACTTTTTTATGTATAATCCTTGTATAATGGTGTAACCTAAAACTAGTTTTCTAATATTTCAATTTGTTGATGAAGAAAAAATATTAGATACTATGTAGATATTTAAGGCAGATGCTACAGGGTGTTCAACATATATTAATGGTTAATTCTACGTATTTAAAATTAAAAAAATATCTGCAGACTCTTTCAATGACACAGCCTATACTGAGTGTTTTTTTTTAAAGTGGTTCACCTCTATAACTTTTTTATTTTTTCAGATTCCGAGAAAAAAACTAAATTGGGAATGTTAGTAGGTATATGACATAAATCGAGATTGATTCGTATTCAGTTAGTTTCGGTCACTTCCTGTTTCACCGGAAATGTATACATTTGATTTTTAAATGGTACCCTCGGTATTTTTTATACCGTAAGATCGAATAAAAACGGCGTCAGCGATGGCTATGAAATGAACATCGATGACATTTCTCATATAAATTTACATATAAAATGACAGCGCTTTTCATTTCATAGCCATTGCTGACGCCGTTTTTATTCGATCATACGGTACTTTATTTGATAGAAAATGACATTCTGAATAGAATGACAACTTTTGACATCAACAATCATATGTCAACTTTTGACATTTTCAATTAAATCAAAAATAGCATTTTAAAATTCAATCTAGTGTCATGGCTGTGTTAAAACCATTATTTTTTAATCAAGGATTAATCAAGGAGCTTTGGAAAAATTGATTTGGTCGTCTAATATTTTTTGTGTCTTTTCCTGGTCAGTTGAAATATGCCCATTTCGTATTTTAATCATAACTCAATTTTTTTTAATGAAACGAGAGTGGCTCATTAGCATATTTGGAAAAGCATTTTTTGATACCTAATAAATTTTGGTACCTAATTTTGGTAAATAATTTGGTACCACACACTCCGTATGTCGAGTCAAACTGTCGTTATCTTTACGACCGGTTACATGTTGTTTATTATCATGGCACTCTACTAGATTGAACTTTAAAATACTATTTTTTAAGTAAAAGAGTCAAAAGTTGACATTGAATTATTCTATTGAGAATGCCATATTCTGCAAAATAAAGTAAAAAAATACCGACGGTACCATTTAAAAACCAAAAGTTGTAGTCATTTCCGGTGAAACAAGAAATGACCGAAACTAATTGAATACATCAATCAAGCTACTTTTGAAAAACACCCGATATATTATAATTCTTTCTGATAGATTTTACAAAATCCTTCAACTTCTATTAAGAATGTCATATAACTAAATAAATCACTTTACTTAATGTTTAATAATAAATAATTTTTGTTTTGTCATATGGCAACTTGTTATAATGTAAATGAATTAAAAGAAGGATAAAATTCAGAACAGATTGCAAGCTGTTGAGTATAGGTGTACTTAATATACTTTCTTAACAAATGTTGAAAGGTTTTGTAAAATCACTAGAAAAAATAATAATATATATATCGGATCAGCCAAAAAAAATGTTTGAACACAGTGTAGCATCTAACTGCAAGTATTTTTACATATAAATATATTTTTTTTTCATCTCTGTAAAACACTCCTACCAAATTTGTGTAGTCCAACTTCGGAAACAACTGACAGTTAAGTAACATAGGAATAAAATTTTACTTTTTTTTTAAATTGTAAATACTTACTAACGTTATTTATAAAAAAAAGTTATAGAATTTTAGGCAGAATCGAAAATAAAATAAAAATGGAGTTTTGCATTAAAAAACATGTATCCGCCACATTTTTTGAAGCAACCAGTATACTCAAAAATAACATTTGAACTGTGTCTCTAAAGATTCTCTATACCCTTTTTTTTATTTTTTTGGAATTCCCAAAACAAACGAGATAATTAACTTTATTTCTTTCGTGATATCTCATTTTATAATATTTCGGAAGAATTAATCAGGTATCTTATTTTTATAATTATTAGAAATAAATCGGAATTAAAGGATAAGGGATATGTAAATATATACCATACGATAAAAAAAAACGGCCTCAGAGGTGGTTTGGAAATGAATATCGATGTCATTTGTACGTAAACAAATAGACGCCGTTTTTTTTCGCTCATACCGTATAAGAAAAAAAATTTAATAAAGCAAACGCATTTATTAATACATGTATATAGATTTACATGGTATGAAGAAATTCGCATTATGATCTCTGAAGGTCCCACCAATGCTTGGTTAAAGTGGCGAGTACGACCACTTAGCAGTCACACCTATAATAATTTAATAAAATATGAATATAATAAACAAACTTATTTCTTTTAGATTTTTTAAAAGCGAGTTATATGTGTTAAGTGGTTTTTGATTATTTTAGACTAATTTTTTTAGACATATGATTATTTTAGACCAAATTGTCTGCCCACTCAAACGTCTTTCAAAATTATAATGTAGGAAATTCTTAATATGTTTTAATTGGGAATACTTTTAGAAAGTTTCATTTTCACCAAACAAAACTACGTGTGTATAATAAATTGCAGTATAATCAACTATAATGCACGATATATACTGGGGGCGTCAAAACTAGATGTTGGGTTTTCTCAATTATTTCGAACAGAAGTCCAATTTTTCTCCAAAATTTTGTCCAACTTTGTTTTGAAAAATAATTTTTAAATCCATAATCGATGTTTATACAGCAATGTCCTCTTTTAGAATAGATAATTATTTTCAGCTGCATCGATAAAATAAATCATATTTACTGATGCCAAGTAAAAAATAATTAGGAAATTATTTTAGACATCTAATTCTTAATTTTTGTCGCTGATAAATAGATACATCACTTTTGACGACAAACCTACTAATAAAAATTGCGTAAAACAAATCATGTTTATTCGCAAAGAGACAGTGAAAACAATTTAATAACTATTAATTTGGGATATAGATCTTAATAAAACAAAAGTTGCATAAAAGCTTTGTTGATTTATGATATAAAATACAGTGTTTCATTTGAAATAGCAAAAGAAAAAATATAATATCTAGTTTTGACTCATCCTGTATATAATAAACAATTTAGTCTATTTTAATATTATTATATGAATTATATAATTATTAATTATTAACTTAAATTAGTTCCAGTAAAAAACGTCGATATTACCTATTTTTAACTTAACTTAGAAAGAGAGGGCTTTAAATATATATTTTATTATATAAACAATAAAATTCAATCAAAAAAGGGTCAAAATATATTCTTTGGTCAAAATGAACTCTATACGACTACGACATTATGGTATTTTTTGGAATTTTAATAACAAATCCACCAAGCAAAAATACAAAATATAGCCTTTCTTTTCACAAACTCATAACCTTTGCTCATAACTAATAACTTTAAAAGTAAATATATATTTGAATCATCCTGTATATCTATAAAAATACCTCCCTGTCAAATTTACGCTACTTTTGCAAGCATATTTTACAAAAAATATGATTTGAGTGAAAATATAAAATAGGAAATCTGATATGAAGCTTTATCTAAACACAGGGTTGACTGTAGATAAAAAATATTTTACGTTATCAAGTTATTAAGAAAAATTCTCGGAAAAATTATAAAATACACAATATATCTGACAAAAAGCAAAGTGAGAAATGAAACAATTTATAGCATAAAATCAGTATTTTTTTAAACTTTTAAGCAAACTGGGCATTATCGTTTAATCTATCTATCAATCTATCAAATGTTTATTATTAAACTTATATCAGACTCTATAACATTTTTCCCAAGAGTGATTTAAAACAAATTTATATGAATTTAGAAATAAATATGAACAGTATTTACTTACCTGTAAAACAGATGCTTTTTGCTTAATTAAATATGTTGGAAAATATTATCCAGTAGGTACAAATACACAACACTTAAACACAACAAAATAAACTAATAAAATAATAGTTTCTAATCCAAATTTCACAAATACTGTTTATGTTTCTTCGCGAGGGACGAAAAAACTGAATTTTTAATTACTCAGATATGCATTAAGGTATATTTCAATTCAAAAGCTTATAAATATTTATTTTTATAAGACATAACCTAAACGAAACGAAATTACAAGTCGAGAAAGATCAACAAAACTGCCGAATTTAGAAGCGAATATAACTTTTTTCCTTTTTTCTTGTCACAGTTGAAACAAACAAGGATAAAGCTATTTTCGTAAAACATGGGTGAAACGTGCTAATAAGTGGCCCAATAGATGTGACCTCGCGCCCTTCCATTTTTGAACGATGGGCGGGTTTAACGGATTCCCCTCAAAGAAAATCGTAGGGGAATACAAAAATTCAGAACGGGCAAGGCGCCACCTAGAAGACGGGCTTGTACTAAGCCCTCATTGTACATCTATTTATACATAATCAAGGGTATTAACTAATGCGACATTGATTTTGTTTTATTTTTTTAGTAGAACTTTATTTCTTCATATTTGCTAATCAAAATAATTGAATTATCACTTTTTGTGACATTGGTGATTAATGCAGTTTTTCAGACGGATTAAGTATAGTTAAGTTTAAACACAAGTTAATTATATTAGAAAGGCCTTGTTTAAAATACTACAAGGACATATGTACTGGATTAAAGAATCCTACCTTAAAGATGGTTTGGACGATACCATGTAACACCATATTATGCATTTGGTTGCAGAAGTCTGGCCTATTTTGGTCAATATATGGAAGACACCCCTGACATATTGTCACATTCATTTCTAAATTTGATAATTATCTGTCAACTTGGATAATGTACAGCTGGTTCCAAAAAAAATGAATACGACTCTTTACATATTTTTTTTCAAATATTTGGGCAGTGTATATTTATGTGTCAAGTATTTTGACATGTTAAGGTTATTGTGACATTGTATAAAACAACTTTGCCTAGACACCCAGAGGCTAAAGGACAACACCACAAGAATGGAAGTTAAAGATTATATCTCTGGATATAAATTATGAAGACATGGATGTAGAAGATACCTGGAGCAAAATAAAACATCTTGTAGCAGATAATATGCTTAAACCTGAAAAAGGAACAAAAAAAACAGCAATGGATGACAGAAGAAATCTTGGATCTTATGGAAGAACGATAAAAACACAGGAATAAGAACGAAAGAACGTAGAAGAAAATAAACAACAAAAAGCTCAAAGAAGCAAAGGAACAATGGTTACAGATCCAATGTAGGGAGATTGAAGCCTTGGAACAAAAACATGACACCTTCAACCTGCACAAGAAAAACAAGACCATGGCAGGAAGGACTAGCTCACGCAGCAGTAACTTGGTATTGGACAAACAAGGTGGTCTTATAACTGACACCGGAGGAATACTGGAAAGGTGGAGAGAATACATGGGAGAGCTGTTTGATGAGGAGCAACAGGCGGAAACCATTGTCCATGCTGATTCAGGTTCAGAAATAACACTAGATGAGGTACGGCACTCAATAACACGGTTAAAAAATAACAAAGCCACTGGACCAGACAATGTTCAAGCAGAAATACTGAAGCTGTCGGAAGATAACCAACTTAAACTTCTGACAAAGCTACTCAATAAAATATACGAAACAGGAGAATTGCCTAGCGACTGGCTTGTTTCCACGTTTATTCCCCTTCCTAAGAGAGCAAATGCTGCTAGGTGCTCTGACTACCGAATTATAAGCTTGATGAGCCATGCATTGAAAATCCTACTTAACATCATTCACTCTCGCATATATAGAAAGCTTGAAGAAAACATGAGCAAAGTTCAGTTTGAATTCAGAAGTGGAATGGGAACGCGAGAAGCCCTGTTTTCTATACAGGTCCTGATACAGAGACGTAAACTGCGATGTCTACGCTTGTTTTATAGACTTCGAGAAGGCGTTTGATAGGGTGCAACATCACAAACTATTTGAAATATTAATGGAATATTGCTGCACCAGAGAGCGACCGTACGTGTAGACAACGAAACCTCCCAAGAATTTACAGTGGGTCGGGGAGTGCATCAGGGATGCATACTGTCACCAATTCTGTTTACTACGTACTCCGAAATACTGTTTAGACAAGCGCTCAGTGAAACAGAAGAAGGAATAAAGATCAATGGAGAAACCATGAATAATTTAAGGTACGCGGACGATACAGTTCTCATAGCAGATAGTGCTGAGGGATTGCAGAAATTAATAGACCGAGTAGTAGAGGCATGTGATATGTATGGTATGAGACTTAACTGCAAGAAGACCAAAATTCTAGTAGTTAGTAAAAACGATGAGGCGCAGTACCACCAGTTTAGGGCGAATAATGAAACCTTGGAAACAGCAGATACAATCATGTATTTGGGCTGCAGCTTGAACAAGGAATAGGATCACTCACGAGAGATCAGATGCCGTATAGAAAAAGCCAGAACCGTTTTTAACCGTCTTAGAAAAATCCTATGCAATATGCACCTGAATATTGCTATAAGAACACAGGTCCTAACCCATATAGCACATCAAATCACATTTACGATGTGTTTACATTATTAGATGTAGACACAGGGTGACACAATTCCCCCGATGTAAATATGCAACGTTTACACATTGTAGTTCAACACGTATGCACAAAGGTTAAACGTCCGCCTCACAATGTAGCCACAGTATAGCATTTACGGATACACAAAGTAAGGGATACACAGTGTGCCGTAGGATACACAGTGCTTGTGTATTACGTTTAAAATATGTTTACACATTGCAGTTGTGACTACCGCGTGTATACGTATGTATTTTGCTTCGTATACTATACATCTTGTGCTAGATAAAACTACTCCTTATGAACGAATTTAGGAAATAACACAAGTTTTGATGCCTAACTTTTCGTTCTTTTTAAGAAATATCTATTCAATGATACCAATTATATCTTTTTAGAACGAAAATTAGGAATGCAAAACTTTGTATTTTCCAAAAGTATCTCGATCGTAAGTTCAAGAGAAGTAGCCTTAAAATTGTTCCATTTTTGTTTTGTATTAAATGTACCATTTTTCTTCCATAACATGGATTAATTGGTTAAAAAATAAAATTCTTATATTTCTTTATATCATGGAACGCAATAGCGCAAATAATACAATAATAATTATTATTTACACTGGAGAAACCAGAAGTAAGAAAACACTGTAAAAGAACAGAATTTGTATCAAAATATATTAAAAATATAAGTACCTAGTATAACAACATACTAAAATGGTAAACACTGGTATATCGCCACGATTTGGTGGACCTCGTTTAATCATTTTTTTCTCCCCTTTTCCCTCCAAGCAGTTGGTTTATTAGCATACTCATTCATCGAGCACTCTGTTGGACTTTATGTTGTTGTATTTTATTTCCAGATTAACAATCTCACCCTTAAATTTTATATGAAACTGATTATTGAATATTAAACATATCTGTATATCGATCCATCAATAACTTACCGAATATCAGTGTAAGAAGTTCTTTGAAGTGTTTAAATCTTTCTTTCTCTGGTCCATTTAGATTTTCATTATTTCCAAATTAAAAAAAATTATATTGCAGAGCTAACTCGGCTAACCTCTTTATCATTATACGAGAATATTTGGAGTTTTCATTCATTGGAGTCAAAATTTGGTAAATTGGGTATCGAGTAAGGGAAGAGTCGCTGCTATAATATTAATAATACTCTTAGGAAGGTGTAACAAGGTAATTAAAAACTTGTACTTACCTTAAAATCTCTTTTAAACTACACACAAACAGAACATTTATATAGAGCTTCAGAATGATAAAACAATAATGGCTGCTAACACATACCACTCCTAGAAAGGAGAAAGGAGAGGGACACATAAGATACACTTGGTCGGTGTATCTACGCTGAGGCTATCCGCGCATGCGCACACCTTCATTTCATGCTAGAATGTAGACACAACAGTACACTATTACAAAGTGTCTATATAGATATTTATATTATGTGTATACGTCATATTTTTACAAGGTGTGTACTATAGGCACAACTATGATACGAAGTATCACACATACATATGACTTATACATTGTATGTCTCATATACCGACGTCAGATTTCATCATTTTAATAATTATTTGTTACGTTACAAAAAACTCTTTAGAATCTTGAGTGTATACGGTATACAACTAGTAAACACTGTATCACACAATTCTATCAATATAAACCTGCGTGTATCTCATATGTATATGTTAGAACTAGATGAACACTTAGGTTCACTTTAACATATGTTGTTTCTCATGTGTCTCCCTTGTAGAAACGTAATTTCATTTGGACGTGCTATATGGGAAGGTGCTACGTATTATCCACGCTCCTTACGGAGTGGGGGCTCCTTATGGAGTCCTCTATATGGAGTGGAAGCTTGGACCCTGACAGATGCTACATCTAGACGCTTGGAAGCCTTTGAAATGTGGTGCTATCGCCGCATGCTCAGGATCTCATACACTTACCATGTCACAAACAACACCGTGATCCAGAGAATGCAAAAGGAACTAGAAATAGTACATAGTGTTAAAGTGAAAAAAATGGCATACCTTGGGCATGTGATGCGTAATGATAAATACCAACTTATCCAACTGATACTGCAGGGCAAAATAGATAGTAGAAGAAGTCAGGGACGCCGACGAACATCATGGCTGAAAAATATTAGACAGTGGACGGGAATGACGACCGTACATCTATTCAGGGCGGCTGTCAATAGGATTATGTGGACCAATATGATTGCCAACATCCATAGAGGATAGGCACTGAAAGAAGAAGAAGAAGAAGGTTCTTTGATGTCCCAAAAGAACCGGGAAATCCCGGTACCGAAAGTACCTGACCAACTGAACCTGTAAAACTAAGTATTACTTCCTCTTATTTTATTTCTGAGTGGATTGTAATCACAATTGTAATTTAATTTTGAATTATTTATTGATTGTCAAATATTAAATTTACAATGTAAACAGCTGAAAATGACAAGTGTTTTCGAATACATGTTATTTGTTGGTTTGTTGTTATT